GGCAAGCGCAAGGTCGTGAGTTCGGTTCCCGGTACCAGAGTGAACACTCAAAAGTCAATAGCATTCCTGTACACAAGTAACAAAGAGACTGAGAGAGAAATAAAGGAAACCACACCCTTCACAATAGCATCTAAAAAGACTAAATATTTAGGAATCAATCTAACAAAAGAAGTAAAAGATCTATACAGTGAAAATTATAGTACTCTGAAAAATGAGATCGAAGAGGATATCAGAAAATGTAAAGGTGGAGCTGGGGATTTAGCTCAGCTGCACAGCGCCAGCCTGGCAAGCGCAAGGTTGTGAGTTCAGTTCCCAGTACCGGAAAAAAACCAAAAAGAAAATGGAAAGATGTTCCTTGCTCATGGACAGGAGGAATCAACATTGTGAAAATGGCCATACTCCCAAAACTGTTGTAAAGATTCCATGCAATCCCAATTAAAATACCATTAGTATAACAGATCTAGAGAAAACACTCCTAAAGTTCATCTGGAATGAGAAGAGGCCTAGAATAGCAGAAGCAATCTTGGGAAACAAAGGAAAGGCAGAAGACATCACAATTCCTGACTTCAAGTTATATTACAAAGCTACTGTGATGAAATCAGCATGGTACTGGCACAAAAACAGACCTGAAGATCAATCAAACAGACTAGAAGATACAGATACAACTACATACACACTCAGTCACCTTACCTTCGACAAAGGGGCCAAACATGTTCAATGGAAGGAAGATAGTGTCTTTAATAAATGGTGCTGGAAAAACTGGCTTTCCACATGCTGAAGACTAAAACTAGACCCATGTCTTTCACCATGCACTAAATTAAAGTCAAAATGGATTAAAGATCTAAAATTAAAACTAAATTTATTGGAAGAGAAACTAGAAAAAATCTTGACAACATTGGGGTAGGCAGAGAGTTCATGAACAAAAACCCAACTGCACTGGAAATACTTCAAACAATCAACAACTGGGATCTCATCTCATTGAAAAGTTTCTGCACTTCTAACAACAGAGTAAAAAGAAAATCAATGAACTGGGAAAAAATCTTAGCCAACTGCCCCTCAGAAAAAAGGACTTCTATGTAGGACATATAAGGAATTTTAAAAAGTCAGGCCTCACAAATTCAAAGACCCAATCCAAAAATGGGCATCTGAGATGAATACACACTTCTCTAATGAAGAGATACTAATGGCGATTAAATACATGAAAAAATGTTCAACATCATTAGTCATTTAAGAAATGCAAATTAAAACAGCACTGAGATTCCATCTCACCCTAGAAAGAATGGCTATCATCAAGAAATCAATCAATAACAAATACTGGAAAGGCTCTGAGGAGGAAGGAAACCTACTCCACTGCTGGTGGGAGTGTAGATTGGTGAAACCACTGGGGAAATCAATTTGGAGATTCCTTGCAAAACTAGGATTAGAAGTCCCACTTAACCCAGCTATTTCCCTTCTGGGTATTTTCCCAGTAGAATTAAAGACATCATACCACAGTGATATATGTACACCCATGTCTATAGCAGCACAACTTATTATAGCTAAATCTTGGAAATAACCCATATGCCCATCTTCTGAGGAATAGATAAAAAAGTTGTGGTATTTTTATACAATGGAGTATTACTCAGCTATTAAAAAAGATAAACTTGAGGCTTTTGTAAGTAAATGGATGCAAATAGAGACCATACTCATAAGTGAAATAAATCGTACTCAAATGTGTAAATATCATATTGTCTCCTTGGTGTAGGAACCTGAAAGGCTAGGTAAAACTGAAAACATACAATAGATGATAGGAAAAGGAAAGAAATTTCTCAAAGGAAGGAACGACTGGGATGAGGGAAAGAAGAAAAAAGTAACAAGGAAAAGGAAAGAAATTGCTCAAAGGTAGGAACGACTGGGATGAGGGAAAGAAGAAAAAAGTAAGGAAGGCAAAACATAAATATATATATGAATAGCTGCGATGACTGAATTGCTGTTGTCTGATGGTGTATTCAAATGAACAGTTAATACTCACAATTTCTTATGATCTGATCGACTTTGCATGCTTGTGTCTGGTGGGCTGAGCAACTGATTTGAAGGTAACAATATGCAATGGAATTACAATGGTGAACTCCTACCATCTTGTCTAGTGAAATTATTATCTCTAATGTTTTATTGAAGCATTACTTTCTTATTCTCTTTAATGGTTTAGGCAATCTTCCATTCTTACATCTGATAATCTGAGCAATGCAATTGAGGATAGTGGTATGCAATGTAATAACCACTGTTGATTTGTATTAATTTGTCTTGAGACCCTGTATCACTTCAAATGTTTTTGCTTTGATTTGTTTATGTTCGTGATACTGACATGCTGCTACTGTTCCATTTTTTTTGGTTTATTTGTTTCTCATGTACTACTCTCTATAAAATTTTTTTTAAAAAAGTCCATCATGTCTCAAACCCTGAAAAGAAAAAGTTTAGCTTCTAAGTCATTTTCTAATTTAATTTTTCAAAAGAACATTTTGATTTGCCTAGTGTTTAAAATACCAGATTTTTTAGATTTCCATCATTAAGAAGAACATCATAAACTACAATATTTTCCTTCCAATAATTTTTTGTGGCATCAAATGTAAGTTATTTTTAAATGTTCAATTTCAGTATTAGTAAACTCTGAGAATGAAGAAGTATACAGAACTTTATAGAAATTATTACTTTAACCTCTATCTAATAGAAGCACAGGGAAAAAATCAGACAGAAACTAAAAGTCAGCTTTTAAAAAGCCTCTCTTCTCTTGGCACCTTAACAGGTATAAAACTAATCTTTCATATGGAGGATTGAAATTAAAAGTCTCAGAACTGCCAGGGATATCTTTGCCTGTTCCTTCATAAGTTAATGGGTGCTACATGAATAATTCTGCCAGACCATTTACAAATTGATCCCATTATCTTAGGGTGCTGGCTCACCTATTTGCACACAGTAAACATTCTTCATGTCAGGGCTCCACTTAAGACTGGAGCCACTAAGAAATATGGAAGCACCTTCTAAGGACACACCACCTGAACAAGGAAGTCATCTTCTCACAAATGGTGTAGAAAGGCTTGTGAGGATGAGTCTGTACACCATTCATCAGTGCACATAGAACACAGCAAATTCTAACAATCAAAGAGAGCAGCATAAAAGGGTCAGCAGTTCCCTAAACCAGTTTATTGAAAACTGCATTAAATGGTGCTCATACACTTATTCTGCCTTTTCACATTTGAAAACAAGGAAGAAATAAGTTCATTCTTAAAATGTCTTAAAGACATGCCCCATGCATTTATTCGACCAATGACTACTGAAGATCAAAGCAGTTGTCCACTTCCCATGCTACTTTTGAAGAAATATAACAACTTTAAATGGATCAGCCTGAAAATAGAGTCCAAAAACCCAGCTCATTTTTAAAACCAGATCTTTAACAGATGTAACTTTTGTGTTTAGTATGGTAATCTCCCACTCATATTCACTTAGATATCATTAGAGATGCTCCCATCTAAGTATTTTAAGTCAGCATCTTTAACCTTACAACCACAAGTGTTCAGTCTTCTTTGGTTTTCTATCTCTACTCTTGCTTATTTAATTGCATTCATTGGCTCAATCTTCTACTTTTAAAAAAGCAGAGAAAAATTAGAAATACGCACAGCACATTAGAATTCATGATTTTTAGAAAAATCTCTGTAATCTCCTTAGTAGACTTTGAACAACATTCAACAAAATATTACTCTATTTCTGCATTATAGTCTTCAGAAAACTGAGTCATTCATGTCATGGTTCTGTTCTGGAGAGTTCTCTCAAAGCCTCCTCTGTTTAGAAGATGACTAGATTGCGAGCGGACTAGAGCAGACTTACTGTTAGGGAATGGGGCCTTCTCAGAGGTAGGTCACTGGAGGCATGATGTGGAAGGGTATATATCCTTTCCCTACTCCTCCCTTCTCTCTCCATTTCCTGCCCTCCATAGGGTGTGCAGCTTTTCTCTGCCAGGCCTTTCCATCATGCTATTCCTGCCACAGAGGCAGCCAACTATCAACTGAAATCTCCAAAAATGATGAGCTCAAATAAACTTCTCCTCCTTTCAATTGTGGGTGTTGGATATTGTGTCTCAGTAAAAGAAAAGTGACTAAAGTAGATTTTGAGAAGTAGAGTGGCCACTATGACGGTATTTGTCCATGAGGTTCAGAAACCTTTGGAACTGGTTCACAGAAGGAGTTTGGAAAGGTTTGGAGATGCTAGCTAGAGAAAGCTCAGAATTCTGTAAGCAGAGTGGTGGGAGATTCTGGTCAGAGCTCAGAAAGCCAAAAGAAATAAAGACAAAAAGTCCAGGCTAGAGAGGTTTCTACTGGGAACAATGAGTCTATCGGCATTTACTGAAAACCATCTGCATTACATTCTGGGAGAAATTTATTTATGTTTCACCTATATTCTGAGACTTTTCAGGAAACTGAGATTAAGGACAGCAGATTAGTTATTCTGGTGGAAGAAATATCAAGGCAGCTAAATGTTTATACTAGAGCATAGGTATCACTTGCTGTTTGCAGCAAGATTGACAGAAACAGAAGCCAAAAGCCCATTTAAAATATTTTCAGAGAATTCTGCTCGAGAAGCACCACCTAGGGAACTGGTTCTTGGGGATTTAGTTTATAGTATTCAGCCATCCTGTCACTTGGAGGCCTCTGTAGCCATGATTTAAGGAGGCCTAGTCATTGCTCAAGCTGGTGGCAGATCTTGGCACTATCCGTATGGTACTGGTTTCACAGGCATGTAGAATGTTAGAATTTTGGGGTCAGGGAGGCTTCCACCCATATTTGAGAAGAAGGCCTGGGAATCCAGGCAGCATGTCTCTTGGAAGTAAGTGTATGAAGCTGTAAAAGTGAAGCCAAAAATGCAATGGAAACCATAGGAAGTTGGAAAAGCCAGAAATGTGGGACATCTGCTGAGGAAGTTCAGGAGGTGAGTAGAGCCAAGGCAAGAGAGAAGTCATAAGGACTACAGCTGACAAAACCATAAGAATGGGGCCACCCAAGCCCTTTGGAGCTCTTATCTTGCCACAGCTTGCCCTGGGTACTGGACTTGGAACTATAGGATTTAACATTTATCATGCTGAATTTCAGTCTTGCTTTGGTGCCATTTCTTTGTATCCCCCTATGTATTCCTTTTGGAATGGGAATGTTCATCCTGTTTCATTGTATGTTGGAGATGTTTAACTTTCTTTTGATTCTCATAGGGGCTCACAGTTAAGAGTTCACCTTGAGTCTCAGGCAAGATTTTGAACTTGGACTCTTCAGCACTGCTGGACCTGTTAGAGCTTTGGCAACTAATCTGCTGTCCTTAATCTCAGTTTCCTGAAAAGTCTGAGAATATAGGTGAAAGTTAGGCAACCAGTGCAGATGAACTCAATGCATTTACGTAAAGAAACAAATATGAGTCTTTTGGATATTATATCTCAATAAAGAAAAAGTGATTAAGACAATTAATTTATTCAGATATAACATTTATTAAGTACTTATACCTTGCCAACTGTGTGTATATTGGTGGAAAGTAAAACTCACATAATGTGACCTCAGAAAGCTAATTATCTAGCCCTAGATTTGTTTCAGGGATGAGAGATTTGCTGGTTTCACAGTCACCCTCTTACCAAAACAAAGAGGAAGGATGGCTGTACAAAATTACAAGGAAAATATTTCCAAGAGAATCAGAGAGCTATCAAAGTTGCACTTATTTAAAGGTCCAAGGAAAGTCTAAAGGCATGATTACAAGATCAAGTAATCCTTTTCGCCTTGAGGTATTTATACAATTGGAAAACACACATGTGTGCACACAGACACACATACAAACACACACACAGAGGAAGGCAACTAACCTGAGAAAGCTGAAGCTCCAAGACAAAAGGTTAGTAAGAGTTTTCAGCATTATCAAAAAGCTAGAGGACACTGAGTCTCTTCCCTCCATGCACCCAGTGCAGACAGGAGCTCCTCACTCAGAAGGCCCATGAACTACTAGCACTGGGGTTCACATTTGGGCCCTCCCTGTGTGTGCCCTGCACCACCTGAGGTACTAGAGTAGGCAGTCCATGAACTGCTGGCTCAGGGCAGGTATATGACCCAGAAGGGCAGATATGGGCTGCCCTTGTGGGTTCACATCTGGGCTTTACTTGTGTCCTGACCTCCTGGAGGTCACAGACACAAGAGGTCCATGATCACCACCACTGCAGCCCATATCTGGCTCCTATGCATGCCCTGAGCTTCCTGGAGACACAGAATCAGGCAATCCATGACCCGCTCACATCACAGTTCAAAGTTGAACACCAAGAAAATCAGGTATTTCCCATCTACTTCTGGGGCAGAGCAGGCATCCATGACCCATGACCCCACTGCCATTACAATCTGAGTCTCCGCCCTCCATGCAGCCGGTGCAGACAGGAGATCCTGACTCAGAAGGCCCACAAAATGGTAACACCAGGGTTCGTGTTTGGGTCTCCCTGCGTATGCCATGCACCACATGAGGTACTAGAGCAGGCGGCCCACGAACTGCTGGCACCGCGGTTCGAATCTGGGCTTTACTTGTGCCCTGAATCCCTGGAGGTAACAAACACAGGTGGTCATGATCACCTCCAGTGTGTCCATGTCTAACTCCTGTGCACACCCTAGGCTGCCTGGAGACACAGAATCAGGTGGTCAACGAACTGTTGATCCTGCTATTAGTGTCTGCATTCTGCCTGAACTGCCTGGGAACACAGGACCACTGGTCTGTGATTGCACCACCAGTGCAGCTCGCTTCTGGGTCATACACCTGCCCTGAGCTGCCAAGGGACACTGGATCAGTCGGTCTGCTATACTACCAAAATTGTACAGATTCAATGCAATTCCCATTCAACTACCATTAGCATACCTCAC